TTAAAACTGCTTCCAATTTTGGCTCCCCCTGCTTTTGGGGCAGGGGAAGGGGAAAGATGATGCAGAGCGCAGCGTGGTTTCATGCCTTTCAAAGCAGGACAGCAGGCAAAGGAGTGAGAAAGAGAGAACCCCGTTAATTTCTTATACCTTCTTTCCTGCTCAACTCCAGAAAACACAACGGGCACTAGAGAGCTCACCATACCATTTTTTTAATGCCTACGGAAAGTGTAGGCATGTGCATGGTCGAAGAGCAGCAGTGTGCAGCCACCAGCTCACCTTTGGTCCCATGTCTGTTCCTTAATGTGCCTTGGGATCCGCTGTCCTGTGCTTCTTGCTCTATGTGCTCTTCTAGCTCCCAATCTAGGAGAGGGGCACTGGTGCTCTTCTCTGCCAAGAGGCCCTTGGTGACATCTTCTGTGGCAGTCACATCTGAATGTGTCATTTTACTGTCAGAGCTCAGTGACTTGCTTCTTGATGAAGCATCTTCCTCTGCTGTGTAGGAGCTTTCACATTGCTTGCTTGTTTCCTGGTCCTCCCGTGTTTCCTGGTGGACAGGGCTGTCTCCTTTGCTGTCCATTTTATCATGGGCCAGCCTGGCTGTAGGGAATAAAATTCGCAGACGTACGCTTAGTCTCCTTCAGCACAAGAACAAACAACCCTTTCTCCTGCTCTGCCTCCTCTAAGCAAAGGCCCAGGTTATCAGCATTTTGGAAAGGCTGTACACAGAAGGGGAGAGACTCACCTTCATCCAACTCGTCTTCTTCCTGGGATCTTTCTGAGACACCATCTCTTGTCTTCTCAGATTCTTCCAGTGATACTTCAGTTTCCTGGGGAACCTTCTCCTCTACTGTGGGGCCAGCTGAATCCAACAGTGTCATCTCTCCTCCATCGGCAGTGGGTGATTTACACACCATAGAGTCCTCCTCTGGTTTGCCGGAGGTCTCAGGCCACCTGCTTGTCGCTTGGTGCTCAAGTGTTTCTTGGGTGGCCTCTTGGTGCACAGGATGCTCTGCTGTGCTCTCCACCTCATCTGGGGCTGGCCCAGCTGTTGGGATCAGAGTTCACAAGCTCAGCTAGCCATACAGGAGTCAAGAATACCCAGTGCTTTACCACCACCCTGTAAAACTCCCAGTTCTTGCATTTCAGAAACATCTATCCCCAGTGAGATGGGGGAGAGAATAGGGTGACCAAAAGTGAGAAAACTCATGGGTCGAGATCAAGACAGCTGAATAGGTGAAGGGGGGGAAATCACAAGTGGTGCAATCACTTGTGATCACAAGGCAATCACTCACCACCTCCTACAAGCAGACTGATGCCAGGCCAGTCTCCGAGCAATGGCCACTTTGGAAGCCAACCCCCTCTCCCTTTCTTTCTGTACCCCAGTTTTTGTGGCTGAGCATGATGTTATATTGTATGCAATATCCCTTCGCCCACCTTGGGTCCCCGCCCAATCTTCTGCCCACCCCAGATTATTTGCTTGGCGGGAGGAGAGGGAGGAAAAAGAGAAAGCCTTGACACTGTGCCAGCACTGTTCAGCAGCAGCCAAAACACTGCTGTGTTATCAACATTTTTTTTTTAAAACCACAAATCCAAAACACAGCATTGTACAGGCTGCTATGAGGAAAGTTAAATCAGTCCCAGCCTATGTTCCACGCTGTCCTATGTGGGGTGGGCAGGCAATTCTTTCATTAAGTGGTAGGACATGTTACCACATCTTCCACAGATAGTGGGTTTTCCTAGGTTGGTAAATTGAAGTGATGGATTTGAAGAATTTCTAAGGCTGTTGTTGAGTACTGGCCAGAACAGTTATGCCAACGCACTTCAAGCATCTGTCTGAATGTACATGTTAGCTCTGCTTGTGCTCCTTCTCTGCTCCTGTTCTGGAGCTGCTCTCCCAAAGAGCTATGGCAACGTATAATTAAAAGCAAACACTGGAGCATAATTCAACAGAGAAATTCTGAGGCTGAACATAAGTGTTTGCAACATATTCTGATTCTTACAAAACCAAACAGTGCAGCTCAAATTTCAGGCGCTATTTGTGAAAAATTGCTTATGAATGATCAAGCACTACAATGACATAGAAATGATTATGCTAAAATTAGAATAAAGACTCTGATAAAAATGGCAAGGAACTCCCTACTAATTTGAAAGCAGAGAAAAAACTGCACGTGTCACGTGTCAGAACATGCTGTCCTTTGGAGCATGATTTTTACATTCCTTGTTGCTGAGTATTATGGGAACACTTCTGACCACCTAGGACAGATCTGAGCTGGTTATAGCATCACGGCATCACCAAAATACTCACATGTAGTAGTCATAACAAGGCACCCGGAGAATGTAAGTACACAGTAGAAACTGAAATATGAGGAACCTGGAGGTATCCTGCTATTCAAGCTGGGCACAAACAGTATTCCTTGCCCTGCCTTCCTCCAGAGATTTCCCATCCATAGGTGGTGCGAAACTGGCTTATTATTTAAGCATCTGTAGATGGGAAGCACTGGGATGCAGGGAAGAAAGCTCTCCCAGTCTGGAGCTCCATCTTTAGCCTTCCCTGTTCTGCCATTCTGGACACAGAGTCTAAACCTGTTGCAGATGGGAATCCAAAACTGAAAATAACTTGTTACTCTTTCACCCTTCAAAAAAAGATAGCAAAAGATTCCTTTTCTTGGCCTGCAAAAGAGGGCATTCTTTTTTTTTATTATTTTGCTTATGTTTCCCATGTCACTGTTGAAATCTTCTTGCAAAGGGATTTTCCTAGTAGATGGAGTAAGCATAGGATTCACTTACCTCCAGACAGATGCACGCTTGGATTCTCTTCCATTTTCTTTCTCCCCTGGAGCTCTGGCTTCTGCACTGTTTTGTTTCACTTTCTCCTTTGGTCATAAGGAGATTTATCTCCCTGCTGTTCAAGTGGCTGACCAAGCCCCCTCACAGACACCATCCCGTCTTTGCCTCAAGAATTGCGACTAAACGCCCGTAAACCTGACAAGCACAAACACAGGAGCAGTGATTCATGGTGGAGAAGGAGGCTCCTCCCTCCATGCTTACCAAGGTGGTGTGAAAATGGAGGGATGTCACCGATAAAGGTGAACCTTCAGCCCAAGGGCTATTAGCTATTTTGCTTCCCAGCAGGCTACAAGCAGTCCAAGGGCTAATGCAAACCGCAGCTGTCTTGGGACAAGCCGGTGGGGTGAGGCACCGGTTTCTCATCCAGACGGACTTGGATGGACTCGGCTGTGCTCCAAGATGGCAGGCCTGGAGGCTGGGGCTTGGCAGGCTGCCCCGCATGCTTTCGGGCACCTGGCATCTCACAGCCAGGTCGACACAGAGCAATGAGCCTGCTCTACCTTACCTTCCTGCCTCCAGCATGTCGGATCAGGAGACGGTGGTGCTGGAAGGTGAAGCTGCTGGCAGAAACACCACCTGGCCCCTGTGCAGCAGCGTTACCCCCACCCGACCTCGCACCTGTCTGAGGGGGCCAAACAGTGCCCTGGCCAAGTGTTGTGAACCTGGAGCCGCAGCCTGACTCTCCTACACCCCCCCCCAGCGATACTTCCCCCTCTGCTAAAGTGCTTTGGGACCGGACAGCTGCATAGGACGGAGCTAGGCTCGCTGGTGTAACCTGAGAAAGTTGATGGCTTTCATGAGCGCAACGCCTGCCCGCAGAAAACTAGGTGGCATGGAAAACTCCCGGGAAACTTTCCCCGCTGGAGAGAGGTTGGTGCAGATTTCCGTACAAAAATCTCAAGCTCAGCCTTCACAGCAGCTCTTCTAGCATAGGGGGGCACCTTCCCCCACCCGCACTGTCTCCACAGCTGAGTTTTCTTGCTAAATACAAGATTTGGAGGTGTGTGGGGGGGTATAATTGCTGCTCTCTGCCGCCTGGCTCTCGTCCCTCCCCTCCCTGAACTGTTCCCGCTTGTGACGCTCTGGCAGAAGAAGGAAGTCAGAGGAACAAAGTGGCTTGCAGAGTCGGATGCTTACCCAGGCTTGGAGGTTTGGAGCCAGTCGGGGCAGCAAAGTGAAGTGGAGGGGCAGCAAGAGGAGGCCAGCACTGGCCCCTCCGCCTGCCCTTCCCAGAGGCCCTTCGGCTCTGCTGGTGGCAGGACAGCCCGTGCCCTCAACGCACACCCTTAATCCTCCACTGTCAACGTGACAGTGAACTCTGCCCTTCCACGGGCCCCCGGCAGGCTGCTGGGAGCTGTAGTTTTCCTTCCCTCCTGCTTGCCAAAGGCAGATGGCTTTTCCTCAGTGAACAGCAGTCGTTCTCGGGAGCATTCAGGAAACAATAACTTCTTTTTCGGCTGTATTTCTGAAACTCTGTGGTCATGCAGAGTTTCCTTCAGGCAGACTGGATGACTGGTGGCTTCCTGCATTAGGTAACACCATTGCAGATTTAAACAACTAAATGACAGTGAGGAAGGAACTGTTTTGAGAGTTGATTTATGAATATGAAAAGTATCACAAGAAAAACAACCTGAACACGTAGCCAGCAAACCCCTGACTCTTGAAATGACCTGTTGTGCAAGTGCAGGGAGGCTGGGGAGCTGCGGGTTGTGAAATGGAGTGTCTTTAGCATCAGCCTGGAGGGCAAGGGATGGGGAGGCCCCCCAGTGCTCCCCTTCCAGCATGGTCCAGAGACTGCAACAGGCGGAAGGTCCGAGAGAGCGTGCGTAGCTGCTCCTAGCCTCATTTGGGCAATGGTTTTCCAAAAAATGATGCTATGCCTTGCTGTGTCCGCAGAGGGGACAGGTATGGTCCAACCTCCTTCCCTATTCCCCCCTGCCCAGGACACATGCCCCAGGGAAAGGCATCAACGCAAGGTGCAGCAGCGCAGAGACTGCAACCCACCTCGAAGTCAGCTTGCAGCCTTCTCACTAACATCCCCAGAGGAGCCCAGTGGCAAACAGCTGAGACAAAGCATGGGGAAAGGCAACTGAAATGGTGCCTGTAGGGAACAGAGACTAAATGGCTGGGATGCCTCAATTTGGAGAGTAGAAGGCTGAAGGGGGGGATTTGACTGATGTGGAGCTGTTGTTCACCAAATCCCTCAATACTAGGACTTGAGACACTTGTAAAACAGGTAGGAGGTCAGGTCCAGGTGGGCAGAAAAAAGTACTTCTTTTTGCTGTGTGCAGGAAACTTCTGGACCTTTCTGGCACAGGGGCCACCGAGGCAGTGTCAGAAGGTTCAAAAAAGGATGAGTCTCATTTGTGGACAGCAGGTCCATAAACAGTTAGTACAGACTGGGCAGGGCTGTACCTGGCAATGGGAGACGCCATTTAGGTGAAGCACGTGATCCCAGCCCCGTCCCGTGCTCTGTTCTCCTTATGCTCCCGCAGCACCCAGCACTGTCCCACTGGGGATGCTAGAGCCGAAAGGGGCTGCAAGTGCCACCCTGTTTGTGTCCTCCTGGACAGGACCGGTCAGAGGGTGCCCTGCTTCCTCTCTGTCTCTCCCCAGGCCTCCACGAGCTGCCGCCTAGCCCTAGGGCCAACTTTGTCTCCGTCCCTTGACTGTATTGTAACCGCTCAGTTATGAGACATGCGTGTGTCACGCTACACAAGGGGTGAGCATGTGCATCAGTATCGATACCGACACTGGTCGTATCAGGAAGGTGAGAAGGCGTGAGGTGTGCGTGAGCACAGCGCAGGTAGCGATAGCAGGATTGCACCTTCTCCCTAGCAGTGCAGAAAGGCAGCGGCTTCCTCCGTGACCCGCAGAGCCACCCTGCTGGTGGTGGCCAGGAAGGGACAGAGTCCACCTCCCTCCCTGGCAGATTCAGCACATTCTTTTATTGTGGCCAATCTCTCACCGGGTGCAGTATAGGCTGTAAAACTGGGGAGAATGGCAAATCTTCAAAGAAGAAAAAAGTCCGAGTGGCTGATCTACAGATGCCAAGATCTCCCTGAGGGCCCTGCTCTTGGCTGCTGTCCATCTCACATCCTGGCCAAAGGCACGTTTGACTTGATCTGCTTCTAGCCATAAGGAACAGCCAAGGTGGCCAAAGCTGACAGGAGCTGCTGGTGTCAAGGGCTTCATGAAAATCAAAGTATTTTACCTCCCTTTGTCCCTTCAACCAGCCAGCTTCATCACGGGAGGCAATCGGGAGTGGGCAGAGGGACCGCCCTGTCCACCGAAGCACAAGTGTCATGAAACCAGTGGCGGAACTCCAGCTCAGCAAGTGAAAGAGGCGAGTGTGTGACAAAATCGGGGGGTAGCTTCAGCCTGTGCCGGTTGAGAACCCGGTTACTGAAAAGCAGTTTGGAAGGAGAATTAACTGGTCGGTCTAGGTTATGAAGTCATCCACCATTACAAAACTGTTACAGAAAAGTATGTTGACGTTGTGTAACGTTGCTTTTCTTCCTTCAGCATTCACAAAGTCATGGGATATGAGCTGGGATGTAGAATTGTAACTTAACAAATCTGGTTTTTTTTAACTCAAGTTTGAGGGAGGATTTTATTTAAATAGGAATGACATTTTCTCTCAATCTGCGGAAGAATCAACAGTGACTAGGTGACTTATAAAGGACGTGCTTATATAAATATTTACATAACGTAATCATCTAGTAACTTTCTTTGGAAACTTGCAAATAAAGTCATACTACTTGTAGCTGTAGTTCTGCGCGGTCAGAAATCATGAGCCAGTCACCGGCAGGTCAGCTTCCACTTGATTAGAGCTGCATGGACAGTTCAGCTGCACTTTGAAACCTCCTGTTGCGGTATTTATTACATCCTCTTATTTTTGCTTTAGAAAACATTGCTCAGCGTCCGTGTTCTGCTTTCGCATCTTGAAAGAATGGCAGTATTTACTCTATTGCTGCTACAGAAAAGAGGTATGCATAATTTATCTCACAAATATTCTGGATGAAACCGTGGATGAAACATTTACAGTGTGCTAATATAGCATTAAAATAATTTTTATTTTGAAATATATGTACAGACAAGACAGTTGCAGAAGTGAAGACTGAATGGCACTTCCCTCACCCAGCCTTCTCGTTTGAACACACAGAACACGTACACACCTACCCCCTTCACAACCCTGCAAAACAAGCGACATCACAAACGTGAGCGTACGTCTTCAGGAGCGTTGTACCTTAAGATACTGCCATCAGGTTTATTGCAGACGTCAGTATCACCTTCCTCCATCCTGCCTTTTTCAGTATGTAGAAATCCTTTAGAACTGGTAAAAGGGCCCCTATTTGCTCGTTTCCAAACTGGTCCTAAACCGTTCGCTGCCCTGGTAAGCATCTGCGCGGCGGTTACGGAAGATGTCCGTCCACCGTCGAAAGACGGGAAAACCAGGCACGCACAGCTGCGTAACCGTTTCAAACGCAACTGCAACACAGCCTGCGCGGGGGTTACACACCGCGGGCACTTTTTACCGGGAGCACCCAGCACTCCTCCCGACCGCCGCCGGAGAGAGCTGCGCGCCGACGGCCC